AAAATTCATCTCGAAAATAATTACTTCAAATGTTATTAACCTTTTGTCTTTGTGCGCTAATATAAACAGCATCGTTTTTTGATTACCATAATTTCAATTTTACGCAAATGCACAAAGTTTCATATAAATAATAAACAATTCATTAAAGAACAGCCATGTGTAAATAATTAAACAGAAATCAAGCTAGACAATGCTAAAAGCTAAATGCTCTGTGATTCATCTCTGTTTGGAGAGTGCAGCTACGATGACTTCTCATGGCTGTCATACGGCGGCAGCTGTCCAAGCATTACCAGAGTCATCATGCCACCCAGTCCACATTTCTACACAACATAAAAAAATATGACATATTGTGCGTGGTTCTTCTTCGATTCTCCTGCTGCTTCTTGCCACTGGCGAGTGGCCAAAACGCATATCTATAATATGTACCGAAAATAGATTTCAGGCAATTTTTCAAAATGGAAAATTTTCGAACGATTCATAGGCAAATAGAATGTGGTTCATATAAAGCATTACACAGAATAAATAAATTTGACAGACTTCTAGCACTCAAATGTCAAATTTAAGCTAATTGCTGCCGCAATTTACAATGCATGTTAAATTATTACAATGGAAATTAAAAGAGCATTTTGTTTATTTTTTGCTAACTTTTAAATACTTATTTTCTTTCGTTTGCTGCGCGTGTGACGCAATTTTCTGGCACATTTGCAGAAAATCAGAGAAAATAATATTTAAATAGAAATTAGTTCAAGGCTAAACAATTTGCAAGCAACAACAGCTAAGCAAGTCATTAATATATATATCACATAAGATCTATGCCATATTGTATAAGAATTGAGCAATGAAATTGCAACATTTTCGAATAGACTTCTGCACTTAGTATATAAATTAAAATGAACTTAAGGCAAGGTGAAATATTTTCAATGTTGTCTCGAAAATTGATGTTCAACGATTTCTAATGGCTGCTAAGTATTTTTATATTGCCAAGAGACTAATATTTTATATATATTAAATGGGCCCAGACGATTCTTAATTTAAAATACGAGATGTGTTTAAGGTGTTTAAGGGAATTATTGTTCAATTAATAAATTTTGTATTTAAATTAAAATTTTTAGATCTCTTTTAGAAGTTTAGAAGTTTAATTGTCTTGAATGATATTATACAACATTCAATGGGTTCAGGGTATACAAATATTAAATTTGCAATATTACAACTTCTACTACTACTACTACTATGTTAATCAAAATTGTTCAATAACAAATACATAACTCATAATTATGTCAAATGCTAATTATTTCCGTAAAAAATCGAGTTTTAAATATGGGAAACACTAAGCTCTAATCCCCTTCAATAGTATTCAAGCCAAATATCTCTTTCAGCTTTCAGCACGTTTTGGCCTATTGACAAGCATACATACGACTATATGATATACATATGTATGTATGAATATTTGTTGTTGATGGCCACTAAATTGTTGTGTCCAAATTTAAGTTGTTTTGGCCAAAATGCTTGCTTTGCTACCTACTCGTCTTGCAAATTAAATAAACCTGAAATTTGAGGTTTTGTGAAAAAACAAACGACGCTTTGGGAATAAATTATAGGCAGTCAAAATCAAATCTGGTTATTGCTTTTATCGGCATTTACTTGATTTGTTCTTCTTCTTTTCAACTTTGAAAACTAGTTAGCAATTGAATGTATGTATGTTTGTATTGAATTCCAAAAATATACCTCAATGTTGATAAATTTGACTTGCCTTTTTTGCTAACTCACAATTTGTGTTTGCATTATAAATATTTGTAATCAGCAAATACTTTCGCTAATTGTTGCCAAGATATGGAAACAGAATGCACTTGAAAAGCAAATAGTAGATAACACCAAATTAAACCTACATTCAAAAAATAAAAATAACAAATAAATACACTTATCAACTAAGCAACGAAGATTAAATACCCTAGCTGATACATATATGTATTCGTATATACCTATAAATGAGATACGCACACTTAGTCATAATTTTTCATATTTAACAGATTTCTATTCTACTAAAGATGAATTCAAAAGTAAAGATAGAAATAGAGAGAGAGAGAGAGAAAGACAAAGAGGGAGAGAGACAGAGAGAGAGTCGCAGAAACTTATGCTTAAGCTCTGTCATGTCCATCAATCCAAATTTAGTTTAGTTTCGATGTACCCAATGAGCTTTACATTTTATTTTACTGATATATGACTAGTAATCTAATCACATATAACTGAACGTTACTAATATATACACTTGAGACTGCTATGCATCTAAATATAAATATATGACTCTTTTCTGCTCTCAATTTTAAATTACACTCATACATATATAAATGTTACTTTTTTCAGAATTTAGTAACTTAACTAATTGCTGTCATACGTGACTTAAACAAAAAATATTGAAAACAACTTATTTAAAAATAAAATTCCAAGCATATGATTCTCGGATATACTAGAATTGTGCACTTCAAAATCTATTTACAATATAATAATTACACAGCAGCAAATAAAATACTATAATTAAATATAATTGTTAACCTAAACAAAAGTTAAATACAAGCCAAAAGCAAGCGAATAGAAACAATATAATTATTAAATATATACAAACAAAAGTAAAACCAAAAGAAATTTTTAACTGTTCCAATACATAAATCAATCAAACGTTCTAAAACAATGAGCAGCGTCAACTAGGTTAAGCCCTAAATAGAATACAAACGTTCAGGTTGAATGACTCTGGGATATCTTGTAAATTTCAATTTCTAACCATGTAAAACCCAAATAGAAACAAAATGCTGCAAAAGTTGAACTGAAAGAAAAAAGAAAACCCTCGGGCGCAGAGCCAAAGACTCAACAAACATAAATTATTCAAAAGCAATACAAACAAAAAGCTGAGAAAGGGAACAACAGTATTTTGTAGATATATGTATGTATGCATGTTTTTCAATGGTTCACTCAGTCAGTAAGTTAATGATCATAATTATAATGATGCGGCTGGTGATTATTATTATGAAAGCATTTTTTTTGTGTGTCCAATAAGCAAAACGCTGCGCAGTTAAATAGGGTTCGGAAGAAAAGAAAAAAGATAGATATTTATATGTATATAGACAGCTATATATATAAATATAAAAGTTGCAAACTGTAAACAATTTTCAAATTTTCTATCAATTTTATTAAGCGTGAAAAACATCTCTAAAAAGGCAGAACAAAAGTCTGAACAGTTAGTAAAAGTTTGAAGCTGGCCTCGTTGCACACACACGCACAACCAATGCTATGTGTGTGTGTGTGTGTAAAAGAAATTACAAATACAAAAAGATACAAAAACAATTGTGCAAATAAAGTGTAAAAATAGTTTATTTACGCTTATGCAAAGCCCCAAAATTGTTTGGCTTTCCCCTAACCAAAAAAAAAAATTGAAAAGAGAAAAAAAATTCGATCGCATTTGCATAAACAAAATAACGCCGAAGACGTTGTAAATGCGAGAGGCAACCCCAGGGGTACTTGAGGGCATTCCATTGCCATGTGATATAGCACATAGCTAGAGATTAACCATATGCTAACGGAAATGTTATAGATGCGAGTGTGGTGTACCAGCATTTCCGTGGCTATAAATAATTGTGTATTTGCTTAAAGCATTGCAATCAGCAAGACTTTTTGTTAGTGGAAAAAATGTAGGCTTGCTAAGGAATATGTGTACACATAATAGTCTTGATAAAGCTTATTGGTATGTACTTTTGATATATAGTATATATAGTTGAAATCGGCAAAATTCATCAAAAAATATCTTCAATTATGCAAATTCATCGAAAAATATCTTAAATTATGCAAAAATATTTTTTTAAATATGATATACATGGTAGATAGTATAGCTACTCAAGTACATCTCTCTGCTTAATTCAATAATTATTTTATCAACTGTTTAAATTCGTTATTTTACATTATTTACGCTCGATGAGTTCGCTGAGGTGTGTTCCCTCTGATGGGGCCGTACACCTGTGGGCGACAAGCGATCGACAAATTTAGAATTTATGCGATTACGTTCATTGTTGCAATTTACTGAACAACTCGGATGAAATATTTCACGCTTGAATACGTTCGTTCACAGGTTGCTGGGCTTCATTCGCTTCATTCACACATCCGTCACACGTTTGCAGTGGCATGTCATAAATTATATCTATTAGATCTGCACACGCGTTATGAATTGCGTCATGTCTTCAAGGCTTAGATATACATACACATATAATATATCTACTAAATTTATTTAGTTATTCTATTAATACCCTACCCTATAACCAGCAGATAGGAAAGACAAACGCGAACGCAAATAGGATGATTAAGCACTCGCTAGCCAAAGAAACTCTATGGGCTGCTTTCCCATTTGGTGAGCCTCACAGAGAGAAGAACCAGGCCATAAACGGATTTCAAAAGACACAGCCCACGATCAGGCTGGAATGGGTAAAGACAAAAACACCGTTTTTTGCATACTTATCTTGATGAGGTTCTTTAGAGAGCACCAACCTACCACATGCTCAACAGCTGTCCGACGTAGCCCACATTTTATGTGGGTGTCTTTTTGCTTTGAAGAAGATTTTACGAGCAAAAACGTTTCAGGTTAAGTTTTAGTTTAGTTGGGAAAATAACTTGAGTTAAGTGCGCCGACAGTGAATGGATGGATGTGCACTTGAGAAAAATGCACTTCGATAAACTTGTTTCGCTTCTTAAATTACAAATCGCTGTTCAAATTTCAATAACAAACACACTCGGCGGGGCGCCAACTTCTCGCTCGCTTGCGAGTTGTCGCAACCACATTTTAGGCATCAATTAAAAAGCTATACCTAAATCTATAGACCAGTACACAACAAATATTGATACTGACAGCAACAACAACAGCAACAACAAAATCAAACAGCATCAATAAATAAATAATTCAATGCGATGATCTCACAGAGACAAACAGCCAGAGTGACAGTGGGGCAGACAGACAGACGAACGGCTGGACAGTTGTACGGCTGCTGATCGTTCTGGGCATTTGACAGGCAGATTCGAGAGATAGATAACGCCATTTAAGTATTGTGTTTGTACCCTATTCAAACTGGGTGAATGGGGTGTTATGTACAGTGGAAGTAGCTGAATATATATGTATGTATATTTCCTAATCTACTATGTGAATCTTGATCCAGAAAACTTTTGATTTACATCGATTAATATCATACTGTATATAAATCATTCTCTTTTCTTTTCAGAACATTATTTTTTGGGTCTTTAAATATAGTAGAAATAAAGCTATTTATTTCAATTTAATAAGTATAGATTTTTTCTAGATTTTTTTTAGGGCTTATGCACATAAACCACATAAAACTCAGATCTCAATTAAAGGGAAATTATATATTTACTTCAGATCGATAACTATCGATTATGCTTTATCTTTCCGGATTTTCTTTCACTGCAATTATAAACTGAACTACGTTTATCTTCATAGTCAGCAACTTAAATAAATCATAGACATTATCTATTGCCATTAAATTTTTGTTTGACTGTATGCATAGGGCATTAGCTAGTCGTTCACTTTCGCCTTGATTACTCATTTATATTGTCAAATCTGAAATTGTTTGCGTTTGTTTCTTTTCATTTTCGTTTTCATGTAGCATTGAGTATTGGAATTGTATGTCTGTCAATAAAAAGCATAATCACATAATCACATTCATATTCAAATGATGAAAACCAACTTTTTGGCACTGAATTGTGGCTTGCATGACGATGGGATAAAGGGAGGGGGGGATGAGGCTTGTGTTGACACAGTAACTGATATTCAACGGTATTTTCGTCAATAGCATTCGCATGACTATTAAATATGCATTAAAAGGCAGCTCTTGACTCTTGGTTGACCTCAAAATTGGACGCTGGTAGTACCTTAATGAAAAGCCCAATAAAATTGTAACGCAAAAAGGCAACCAGGCAACGAGCCAATCAATAATATTATAGATACTATATATATATATACATATATATTTATGTATGTCTATGCACATACTAGTATATAGCATGTCAATTAGCATACAGTTGACATGCCATGACAAACAGTTTATAAATTTATTAAGAGCACCCCAAAGTATCGTGCGCCAATATCTAACCCATAACACTCAATCACAAAACTCCCAGGTTGTGCATTCGAAGTCCCAAGTTTTTAAGCTGATAAACTAAAGCAAAGAAGAACCAGAAACTAAACAAAATGGCCAAAACACGCAATCTAAACATATTGGCGGAGTGCCGTTGACGTTAACAACCAAATTCCCCTGCCATAAAGAATAGATATATATACATATAGATATGTATATACTTGTCTTGTATATATAGTGAAAATCAAGAAATGCACGCTAACTTTATTCATGCCAACTAATTGTCACATTAAATTGACTAACAAAATAAACGGGTTTACTAAAGTTAAAGCCACGACCTCTAGATGCTTCCCTTTTCCTAGCTGTTTGTTGGAGTTATTAACGTTTTTGAACTTTGAGTTAGCTCAAGCAGCCAAGTCAAAATAAATCAAGAGTTTTACGATAAGAATACATGATATAAGATATCTAAAACAAACAAAGATAAACTTGGAACTGCGTATGACATAAATTTATATTTTAAATTTCAGATGTGTAACCCTTGGCTCATTTGATAAGCGACATAAATATAAACAAAATATTCATATCAAAAAGAATTTGATCTCTGTGAAGAGCATACCCGTAAATCTTTAATTCACCTGTGCCAGGCTATAAATGCCCATATTATTTTTTGCACTCTTTTCGTATTGATTATATCTTCTAAGTAAATGTAATCCCTGGCACGATTTCAGCTACAAAATTGGAAATTTTGCAATCTATAGAACACGATTCAGTGATTAGGCTTATTTAATATTAAATTCCCATGGATGAATAACGCAATATTTATATATACATATATTTACAATCAGTTTGCAGCTTAATCGCTGCAGGCTAAACAAAATCAATAAATTGCAAAATGACCCCATTCAAAGTGGCAAATCAAGGGCCACACCTACTCTATGCATATTTAAAAGTACATACATATGTATATATAGTTACGCATAACTAGAGCTGTAGATACATCAGGTGCATTTGTGTAGACAGACCAGTTGGTGAGACAATTAGACATTTAATTGCTTGTTATGCTTAACATAATAACGGAGCAATAGGAGGTCACATAATAGCCGAAAAGCCAGAGACCCATAGCTTGGTAGACCCGACAGCCAGACAGCCAACTACCCGCATACCCCAGCCACCCTTTGGGTGGTTGCTTCGAGTGGTTTTTGGCTGCCAATGAATTGTGTGTGTGTGTGTGTGTGTGTGGGGAGTAGCGGGGAAAAAAAAGAGTTAACAGCCAGTTGCTGCTTGCCAACACAGTTGAGGATAAATATACATACATAACAAACGCACTGTATGCGCATTTTTATATACCTACATATAAATAATGTATAAACCGACAAGTCAAAAGTTTTAGCATATACTATATAACGAGCCGATAGGCTAAAGTGCCAACAGCAACAGCAGCTGATGATGATGTCATTTTGGGCAAACAAAAATTTATCGATTGTCTTGGCAATAATTTATTTAGTAAACACACACACACACACTCACACGCATGCCCAGCCGGACATGCCCCAAAAACCACACAAATTGACCTTGACATTCAATGACCACAACTGACCAGCCGCAGCTTGAGATCTCATCTGATCGGCGAAATAACGAATAATGACAGCTCATGATTAGAATCAATGAAACGAAAGTGTGGCAAAGATAATAGTAATATGTGTCAATATTAAATGCTATTAAGTACTAAATCGCTAGAGGCCACATATAAAAAATTAAGCATTGGCTAAATTTCATAGCTAATTTTCAACTTTTTTACCGAATTTATAAAAAAAAAATTCAAGGAAATTTACATATTGAAATTGTTTTTTTTTATGTTCTAGAAATTTTAGACCCAATTTTGATAAGAACCATTTTTTTTAATTCTAAAAAACTCTACAAATTATTTTTGTTATTTATTTTTTTTTTTTAACTCTAAAATTTGTTTAAAGAAAGTTTTTCCTTAACGCAAATTTTACTAACAAAATTATTATTATTATTATTTTCTTTTTTGCATCTATATCGTATTCTACGCTAATGATCAAAATAATAACTCATATAAATATATGTCAAAACGTTTTCCACTAAACGTTTATTAATTCAGAGAGATGAGGCAACCAAATTAATTTTTTCTATTGCCTACAAATGAGACGTTCGAATAGCTAATTCGTCATTTCATTTGAGACGTTCGTATAGCCAAAAGCGACATTCCATTTGATATTTTATTATCATTCTATAAAGTTGTCAGTCAATTGCGCTCGATGAAATCTATAAAATTGAACATATTGTTGGGGTTTTATATTTAGATGGGCTCGGCGAGTTATCAAGTATCAAGAAATATAAAGCAAAGGGCGGAAATAGCTAGGTAAAAGTATCAAGAACTCGTCCGTTATTTTTAAGATATTTAATTCGACGAGATATCATTTAAATTCACTTCAATTGGTGCAAAACAAGCGAGTCTAAAATGTAAGCCCTTCGGCCTCACAAAGCTAACTAACAAATAATTTCTATTTATATTTACTAACCAAATATACTAACACCTACCCATGTAAGCTTTAGGCAAATATACAAATACCAAATCGGTAGCCAAATAGTTTGAGCAAATAAAATATCTTTGTACTTTGCGCTGCAGCCCATGCTAGCTTATCAGTATATATAATATATTCTAATATATTATATATTGCGACAAAATAGAATTCGCAAACTAATTATTATATAACAAAAATTTTTGATGCGATAACAAAACAGAAACCAAATTATTTGTCTATCAAATCGTGCGATATGAAAGATTGAGAGCTACAAAAATTTAATCGAGCCAGACTAATAGAAAGAGTACAGCTGATATGTCAAGTAAAGATCGATTACTTATTAGTATAGGAGTGAGAAGATAATGACACACAATACTGCAATGCGGTATTGAAACTAGAACTAGATACATTTGCATATAAATATGATCGAATTCGGAAATTCGATACGAATTGAATTATAGGAAGAATTTTTGGAAACTCGAACTAAAAACTGGTTTTATGTTGGTGAATCAAGCACCAACATGGGTATACTACATAACATAAAGCGAATGAATCTGGCCGGTAGAATTTAAATATATATTTAGTTTCGTTAAACAGGAACCAGTTGAAACGGTTCCATTAAATTGCAAAATACGTTTTGATGTTGCTAAAAATAATCTATGAATACTCTTAATTAAAAGAAGTTTTTCATTAACATTTTGTCCACAATGTATTTAGATCTATAAACAACACCATATATCTTTGATTTAACCCTGTTTATTGGCTCTTTGGGTAATTTTACCTCGTTTTTCCTTGATGTGGCTGTCGTACTGGGAATTACTGCGTGCGAAATTGATCGACGCCATTGTGGATTGGAACTCCTGGTATTCGTGTTCGGGTTCGTTGGTGTGGGTGCTGCGGTTACTTTGTTGCGCTTGAGTCTGATTATCCTGACGCAGACTCTTGCTAAAAGTACCGATGCCGCTCAATGCATGCGCCGACGAGGGCGTTGTTGAGCGCGTGGGCGTGGACACAATCACAAGACTGCTGGCCGGCACGCCCTCAGTATCCGAATCGTAATCGATGACGTCGACGTTCGCGTCGTCGCTGATGCGTATCTGCGAGGCGGTAAACGAGATATTGCCAGCGTTACTCGGACTCGCATTCGAGTCAATAAAACCGATTGATTTACGCGACGTTGAGGATGTGGAGGACCGCTCGGACCTTTCGGATTGTGTGGTCGTTGTTGTTGTGCTGTTTATCGTTTTGTGGCTAACAATTTTTCGTGATTCTTCCGTCGAAGAACCGCGCAATTGGCACGTTGCAGCTGGACTAAACACCTCGTCCGGCGTTACTGTTTGCGGTTGCTCCTTCGTGCCAATCGGCGTGGATGTTAGCAATGTTGTTGTTGTTGATTTTCCCGTTTGCCATGACAGTTCGCTGGGACGGCTAGCTCGCTGCCGTTGCTGTTGCTCCTGGTGTTGTTGTGGCGTTTCGTTGCCACCCACTTGATACGTTGTTTGTTGGTACAAACGCTGACGCCTGCGTGGGTTGCTACCCACGGTAATGTCAATGTTACCCGTTGCCATAGCGTCCTCGTCGTGCCCACCAAATTGACGAATGCGTGCACGGACCGAGCCATCAGTTTCATCGTGTTGCTCGCCTTGCTCACCACCGGCTAGCGGCGACTCCAGCTCATCCTCCAATTTGATTAATATACGACGGCCACCCGCGGTCATATCGACGCTGTGCGGCGAAGTGACACTCGAACGCTCGCTGGACACACTGGAACGTGACCAGGAGGGTGAATCTCGCGGCGAGACATAGCCCTCGCCATGGCGATAGATTTTCTCCTCGGCATAGCCACCATCACTGGTCCTCGAGGATGTGATGATGGTGCGAACGCCATCCACCGCCTGCACTTCGCGCACCGTGCGCTCGCCGTCCAGAAAACGCTCCAGCTCCATCTGGCGAGACAAATCCTTTTTCACAGTGCGTCGCGTGGTGCGCAAGGTGACATTGAAAGGCGACAGCTGATCCTCCACATTGCCCAGCTCAGCGCCCGGACTTATGCGGCTGGTGGTCTTCAAGGTGACATTGAACGGACTGGCCGTGTGCTCGCTGGTCACTTCGACTCGCCGCGGAGTCGTGTGACGCAGATGCACCTGCTGGAAGGCCAACTTAGCTGCCTCCGCTTCGGCCAGGCCACGTTGTCGCTCCTCACGCAATCGTCGCTCTATTTCGTGCACATCAATGTCGAACGGATTCTCCTCGTCGTAATCGTCCATTTGCTGCTGACGCAGCTCATCTGTGCCCAGGTCGGCCGGGCGTTTGCCAGTGCCATCGGACCACACCTTCTCGTATTGGGCCACCTTCTGGCGGAGGCGTTGCGGCGGTGTCCCCAATTGTAGATCGCTGGTACTGCTGGAGGTGGTCAGTGACGTGGTAATGGTCTTCATATACGTACGCGTCACTGTGGACGTCTCCAGCTGTTTGGTTGCCGATGTCTCTTCCTGCTGCTCGACATTCTCTGTGGTTTTCTGCTCATGCGCATGGCGCCGTCGAACAGCTGGTATTGGGGGCACGTCCTTACCCACATCCATGCTAGCGCCGGCATCTATGGTTGGATCCTTATGCCTGCCTGGATCTGTGCTATCGGCCATGATAGCATCGGTTTTCTAATACGCTTGTCGTTGGGCCAAAATGTCATTTGGGTTCGCTAGCCACAGCCTTGTCCTTTTGTCCTGCTTCGCTAATGCCGCTTCGCTTGGCAGCCCAAATGCAAAATTGATTTTTCTCACGCAACGAAGCTACAACAACAACAACAATAATAATAACATCAGCTTTTCCACTGAGTTTTCCTTGCTCGGGAACAACCCCCGTGTGCCCTTCACTTGCTTTTTTTTTTCTCTTGTCACTTATGGCCCGCTCGTAATTCAACTGTAACTTGTTAAAAGCACACACCACACACAATTTTTAATCACCGAAGCTTTTTGGATTTTGGATTTTCGGTTTTTCTCTTTTTCTATCTTCTTTTGGTTTTATGACACAATTTAATATCACATAAAACGACGATGTCGTTAGATAAAAACCACGTATTTCATTCGTATATGCCCGAGACAGAAATTTAATTTAATTTAGTTTTCGGCATAAATTCTATAGTCCACTTCTCCACACAATTAAACTCTGACTAAAATGGCATGCCTTCGGCTAGCAGACAAAACATATTATAGTCGAGCTTCAGGTTTCATTTGTTCCGTTTCCAATCCGTTGTTGTAGAAAGCCGGTTCGATACTGAGTCGTCGCCATCGTCAACGTGCTGCGCCTTGTCCAGAGACCAACAACAGCGGCAGAGCCACCGGCAGCAGCAGCCCAGAGTACTGGCTGGACTATAGTAATCGTAGTAAAGCTCAAATTTCGATGAGAGAGCGTGAGCGTAACGAGAGCCGCTGCGCAAAATGTTTTTCGTTTTTTGTTTTGAGAAGAAGAGAGCAACACGTACATATACAAATGCGAGAGCACATTTATGTTATTTACGCATTGTGATGTATGTTTACTGCTACGGCAGCACGTACTACCTTTGAACTGACGGCAAAGAGCATGGGCGAAGTTAATGACTTTCAAAAGGGCTATTACATTATTTTTCTTATATATTGTAAAATTATTTAATTTGTATGAACTAATTTCTTTTCTGGAGTCCGTCAGATTTATAAAGTATATAATTATTAAAAAATAATTACAACCCAAATTAAAATTCCCCACTTCAACATATTATTTATATTTTCTAACCCCCCTTAGCTTTCAAAACAACGACGACACTGAAACTGCCCTACGACTATGAAAAATGCCGATACGCAGAAAGCTCTTCTATTTTTTTATTGGGCAGTAAAGGTTTGAATGAGCGCACTGTAACGTGCGCTCTCATTTACTTGCGCTCTCAATGTCACAAATCATTCACACGCTCTCACACATACGCTCGCTCTCTAGCTCTCTCTCTCTGTCTGTCTGTACTCCTGCACGCATATGTATGTGTGTGAAGCTCAAGTACAATTTAACTTCTTATTGCGCTTTGCTTTGTTATTGTTGTTCGTCGTACGTCTTCTGTCTGTGACATCATGAGCGTGAGAAAATACCAATTACACACCACTGGGTGGTTGTTTGTAACAAACATATACATAAACACAGAAATGCACTCACACGCATACAAACAAACATGTATGTATGTAAGTGCATTGGTATGTAATTCGACACTCGCGCGAATAGCGATTATAAAGTATTTGGCAAACATGTACCGTTTATTTTTTCAAAGTGGCGCCTGCAAAGCAAATGTGGGTCATCACATAATAAAGCTCAACTAACAGCATTTAATGAAAGTCATTCATGAAAGCGCGATCGGCCGCCCGTCACAGAAACCAAAACAAATGTTTATTTTTTGAGCTTACATAATCGCCGCTTGTGTTTATCACATTCAAACAAACAAGTTTGTGGAGCCGCTTATTGAGCTAGGCTAATGACGTCACGCTTTGGTGATTGCATTCCAGTTGGCTGTTGTTGTCAAACTAGAAGTTGACCTTAAAGCCACAGCAAATTTGTTATGCCAGACAAATGTATATTTATAGAAAATAAATACAAATCAATCTGTGCATTCATGAGGTCAACTAATTTTTGCAATCAACTTTCTTAAATACTTAATGAGTTTAAAAACAAAACTCATCTATCAATTGTCACTCTACTATCAGCTGTTAACATCCAACGTCAATAACATTGCTGCTAAGAAGATCCACCTAAAGTGGATGGAGAAATGCCCTCTACTGTAGTGCTGCTCTCTAGGTATAAAGATTCCCCATAAAAACAAACACTTGAAGCTTTTTAACAACAACGTGAACATGAATTAATTGGATAAACAATCGTGGCTACAACATCTGGGCAGCACACCAACAACAACAACGACAACAGAAGAATAACAATAACAACCATGTAAATTATATTAGACAACCTAAAGCAGAGTGGGCTGTAAAAATGTTAAGTGGGCAACCGCAGTGTGCCTATAAATAGCTCATGTAATCAGAACAACAGCTACTGTTAGGCTCTTAACAGAAGCTGTTAAGTTCGCTTTATGGCACTCGCTGTAAAAAAATGCTCTGTGTAATTCAAACTGACATCTACGAGAGTTTTTGCAGTGTTTAAAAAACCCTGTGCATTTCAAACAAAAAACAATAATTTAGCTGTGTAAACAACCTTATGAATTTGTATTTACGATTTAAATTGTTTAGTAAGATATGAAAATATTAAATTTAATAAATACCAGTTAACAGTAAAAACTTAATTAAAGAATTTATTTAAAATCCCAAATTCACTGGAAATAAAATACATATATAAATATATTTTAAGTATACTATTTATAGTTCACAATTGAGTTGAATAACATGTTCCTCTTTTCCACAATGTATCGATTCGTAGATTTCATAACAAAACACTGAATATATTTATGATTTTATAAACATACTGAAATCTATTTCATTTCAGTCGGATATATTTATCATCCATCAATCTACATTTATTTCTGCTTAAGTTTGAGCAAACAAAAAATTTTCGCATAAACATTTGTTTCCTACTTTTCACATTTGGGTTTTCAGCACTTTTCAATATTTTCGGTTAGGCTAAAAATACAATTTTTTGGCCATTTATTTCGCACCTAACCATAAAGTTGGGCACTTTAATGGAAAGGCAAATGCAAACATTTTTGTTGTTTTCTTTCTTTTTTTTTTTTAATATTGACTTGAGCACTAAAAGCGCTTCTGTAAACAGACATTCTTCTAGAGTCTGAACTATACCAATATACATATGTATACATAGAGGTATCCGTTCAAGCATCAAATAAATGAGTCGAAAAGTCAATTAAAAACGAAACCAAGAAAGAGAATTGAGTTCCTTTAAAGATTTGACCAACAAAATATTTGCACAGAAATTAAGCTATGTAAACCATTAAAACTATTAGCCATCAAAATATTTTCGAGCACACACATACACTCGATGTTACCAGAATCATAAAAAGGCAATTAAAAGTCGCACCACTGTCAACAATTTTGATTTGTTTGAATTGCGGCGTTCGCATGTGTCTTGACTATATCTATATACATATCTACATATATCTATAGAAGATGATTCGTGACCGATTTTTACGTGCAGAATTTATTCAAATTAGTATCGAAAGATCTATTAATAGCTATGCATTTCATATGTTTGCCATTTGCTTTTGGGGGCGTATATAAATAGATACATTTAACATCCCGAATGGAACCACGTCATAATAGAGGGACAGCAAGAAATGTCTACTTAGATTATAATACAATTTTATACAAGCGAATCCAGCTGGCCTATGTAGCTTAAATGTATGTTGTTTTGAACAAGACTGACTGATCATACGAAAATTTATTGGCTTCTTATACTAATTCACAAAAGTGATTTTTTATAACGTAAACTCATTGAAACTGGGAAATCGGGGTATAATGGTTTCTAATATATTTTATCAGAACATTATACATAATGTTTCAAATTTCTCTCTTGTTTATTATCAAAATTCGTTTGATGTCAAAAAACAATTGAAATGAAGAAAATTAAATTCTTATCTATACATAATCCTCTAAGTATTAAGTTCTAAGCGGCCTATCATTATATTTTTAATTTACTTATAGATATATAAATCTCCTTTTTATTCTCTATATCGTAGTTTACACTAATGATCATTTTCTTATATACGAAGAAAACCTGTCGCCTTTTACTTTTATTTTAAATTCCTTTATTTTCAGCACAAAATCCCTTTTAAAAATAGATCAAACATATATGGTGTACATATATATGTACATCTGTGCACAGACGAGTGCAATGAGAAAACCCAGAGAAATGAACAAATGCTGAAAAACTTAAGGGAAAAAATGAAAAATTTGAAAAAACTCTATTTTTAATCACTTTAGCGGCGTGACAAGACAAGTTCGACCAAATTGAAAACAAAACGAGAAACGGCTCAGATTGAAAATAGCCGGAAAAGCAGGGCGACTGAATCGGCTAAATATAGCAGAGTCATACCCGATTCCCTAGATGATATTTTATACCAAACTTGAAGCATTTATATACGTATGTATATATACAGACGATTAGCTCGTGTTCTTTCTTTTCGGCCGGCTTTGTTGGCTAACAAGACAATTGCAGCAACAACAGCAATATAACAAAGAGCGAGGCAAATGCAATTTATAAATAACAAAATGTAGGCAGCATTTCCCCCGTGACATCAGCGCCAGCAGCATCATTCGAACATGAAAACTCATTTTCACTCGCTTTTTTTGTCTCTCTAAACAGCTTTAATTGTACATCCATACATACCTACATATGTACATATATACTACTTCTATAGCAGACGTGCCATAGACGAGCTGCGTTTCAATATAGAAAAGTGATCTCATTGCCTTTGTACTTAGCTAGAGATATATAATGCATAGATAGATACACACATACATACATATATACTTCTACTTAATACATCTATTCAAGTCGTATAATCAACAAAAGGCTTTAATACTCGTAAACCTTGTCGACAGACAGCTAAGTGTGATCACCATTTTGCGTTTGACTTTGGTTTACAGATCGCATTTACATCGTGGCTTTGAGTCAACTGCTTTAAAAAAAAAAATTACAATCTATCAGCAAGATAAATTCAATTCAGTCAATATTCTTGGGATAGAGAAGGATTTTTTAAGCCAATTTTATGGGTTTTTTATGCTTAATGGGTAAATTTAAATTGATTGAGCAAATCCTAAGACACAATTTGATTATATTTCTAATGAA